AAAAAAAAAGTTAGGGGGGGGGGGCTTTTGGCAGGGGGGGGGGGGCTTTTGACCTAGGGCGGCTTTTGGACTACACCCGATGAGAACAGCTGGACTTTCAAAATGCAAAAAAGTGATACCGATGTGATTTTAGAGTATGCTGGAATTGAGGAATCAGGAATATTCATGAATTCGAAGAATTAATGTTTTGCTCGTATGACAAGCAACAACGGATTTATAAAAGCGTCCTGTGATGCAAATGTTACCCGGTAAACGACACATTACTGCTAATATTTTCGTAAATTTTCTCGTAGAATTTTCATAGCAGCAGTTTTTCAGACATGATACACTATGAAACAAGCACTTTATATTTCAATTTTATCTATAGAAATCTTCATAGTTTATAGCAGCAGTTTTTTAGGAAAATATTATCAGGAAATGCAATCTGCCTATTTTTGGAAAAAATCTCCCTGGGAGTGCAGCAGAAGTTCACCAATAATATGTATTTAAAAATCAGCAGGAAAAAAGAAGTTTGGTAACTCTGCCGGTGGCTGGCCCCCATTGTGGTGGTCAACATTCCCAGACAGCTTAAGCCAGCTTAAACCTCTTGGTCGTTTTCTCCTGGTTGATCTTCCATACGCCTCGCAGAAAGAGTTAAGACCCAGCAGGAGCAAATATTCTTTCCCTTTAACATCCATGTGTCCTTTTTTCCATGTGTCCTTCATTTTTCGTTAGCTTTCTCTCCGGAGGCAAGGGGGTTTAAATACCCCATTTGTCGCTCGCGCCGTTGAATATGCGGAAGATTGTCTTCTGAATTCAATGTCCCCTTGGAAAACTTTTTTTTTCAAGTTAGAAAGATGAAATGCCTGTGTGCGGCTGGGTCATCAGGAAAAGATAGTTTTAAATAGTGTGTTGAATCGTTCCTGAGAAAATATTTTGAAGTTTGTGATTGAATTTAAGTTTGAAAAATCGCTGCTGACCTCTGACAAGTACACTTCTGTGATTATATGCCCGAAACAAAGGTATTGCGGTGACGAACCGCGGAAAGAGATTATTATGACATTATATTATCTAATCTATCTATAATACAGTATATTATATCATAACATGATATACATTGTAATATATTATACTGTATATATAATTTAATATAACATTGTAATGTAATTATAATACTGTATTATATTGTAATAATATATAGTACAGTATACAGCATAGTACTGTATTTCCGGAAGTCCACCATGGATCGAAGTCAGCTTTTTTAAAATTCCTTTTAATAATCGAGTCAGAGTTGCTGAATTTTTTTCTATTGTTAAAGCATTCAATTGTTAAAGCATTGTTAAAGTTAAAGATTGTTAAAGCTAAAGTACTGTACCACAAATGTTTGTTTCACAGAAATCAGCAGATGAAAATATTTTTCTCATATATCTTTCACTTTAATTTCCTAGTATACCTTTTAGTGTTTGTCTTTCAGAGCTTTCTTTTCCGTGAGAAATGCTTTAAATACTCTATCCGTATTTTCTCTGGATCAGCATATTCCGCCGAATGCACAGCTGAAATTGGCGAAATATCTTCATGTGAAGTCGTTTTTTTTTAAGATTGTCAGTCAAAAAAAAATTTTGTTTGCTCAATTATAAAGAGAGATGTGAAAAAAATGCAGGGGATGAGAGGTAAAAAAAAGTCTGAAGAGAAAAGTTGAAGCTGAAATTTTAAAACTTGCCGATCCATTTCAGAAAATATTCGGAAAACTGATGCAGACATTTAAAGATATTTTCTAGGCATTTCAATTTCAATATCTATATCAAATTGATTTTTGAGACAGACCAAATGCCCCCCACGGGTCAAAAGCTCCCGTCGCGTATAGTTGTTACCAGGAATCGCAATAATATGTAAATACAGTATATATTTAGGAATGGCCATGAGATTATTCACCGAAAAAGTTAAGACCAAAATACTTGTCCTTGGAATGTATCCCTTCTCTTTAATCGCAATTGTACTTTCTTCGTGTCCATCATAGTCTTGTGAGCTTTCTTTCCCGTGGGATATGGGCTTTAAATACTCTATCCTTCCAGTAGTATCGCATTCCCCAAAATCAAGACCGCGTGCTAATACTGCTGAATATATTGGGGGATGATTATCTTTTTCTGAATGCAATGTGAATCCCCTGTATTCTTTTCAAGTGACAAAACCATTGAATGATTGCTGCATAATGCTGGCGGGTTGTTTGTCGATAGTGTCCGGAATCTCGAGAAAGAAAAAAATTTTTGAGACAGTGCTGATTTTGTAAAATTCAAAAAATCATGTATAGTTTCTCTTCTGTGTACTCCACTGTGTTTATATGAACTATATTGTGCATTATGACAACCGCAGAAAGATATACGGTATTATGGAAATACTGGAAAGTATTGAATTTCTAAGATGAGGTTATTATTATCTAGTGCGATATTCTGGTGGAACTTAACTTTGATTATATTCTTTGGATGAATAACACGTAAAATCGTAGAGTTTATTGACGGCCATATATTTATTCTATCTAAGAAAGGAATTCCGCAATTGCGTGTCTGCCTTAATCAAACTGAAGTGCTATAACATTTGAATCTGCAAAAGCAGTTGTACAATATATGATTTTATGCAATTGTATGCGTAGTAATTATTCGAAAATCGTGTTAAATGCCGAATATACTTCTAGTGCTGGATGGAGATTGAAAAAGGCGAATATCATGCTGATTTATTCTTCCGATGCAGGTATCACTCGAATTCGAGTCATGGAAAAGACGCAGAGCTTATTCTTGTTTAGACAGATTGAGAGCCTGCCTGAGATGCATCCTCCAAAGCAGTGTGACTTAGGTGTGGGGGGAGTCGCCGTGTTTGGGCTTGATCAAATTCCATTTGGAGATCTCTCTGAGGAATTCTGGGATGAATTCCCACCGCAAGATATATTGCGTTTCGAGAACACATCGGGAGATAAGGTGAGAGAATTTTTTTTACATGTTTTGCCAATTAGATTGATTGAAAGGAGTGCTGAATACTCTGAAGTGGAAATTAATAGAAAATTGGACCGTTGGCTCCTTGGCCCATCCAGCCCATGCTAGACCGTCTGTTCATTCCATTGTTAGTAGATGTCGCGTATGCATGGAGTCAAATGCTGTCCAGGCGTACCTGTTGTGTACTGTACAATTGTTTTCGTGCATCTGCTTTTATTTCCTTCTCTTATTTAATTGAATATGTTTTCTCTCTGTCGCTGCTTTGCCATTCAGCAAGGAGTGAATCAAGCATACAAGGTGTGGAAGAAGCTATTCGATTGGGGTTTCCGTGAAGAACCCAGCATCGTTGCTGAAAATGCCCGCAAAGGCTACCCCGTTCCAACAATCAGAAGCAATGGCTGGTTTCCCTGCGGTAATCTATCTGATCGGTCTTCAGGTGGTCTCCATATATTCAAGAAGAACTTTAAGCCGCAAGTGTGGATACGCAGGATGTTGAAGAACATGGACCACGCAGCCCTTTGACGGTTCCTACTGAACTTTACCGCTTTAGGTCTTATGCCGGCATCCTGCGAAGGAGGAGCCCTTGCAACTGCTACTGAACCAACAGCAACAATCAACAGCAGTGATGAAGCCATCAGTCAAGCCACAGCGAAACAAGAAGAATTCGGCACTCCATCTACCGGAGAAACACCGCAGGTGGAACCTTCATTACGAATTAATGCAAAACTTGGGCCGGAAAAATCGCAACCCCTGGGATCGATCTTTTTCATCAACTGTACTTTCTCCCCTGGGACCTACGTTTTCCAAATTCAGAAGTTAAGAATCATGTCGCCCTGAATTATGAGCTGGCTTGGGTATACAGAATTTTTCCATTGATGGGTTATGTTGTTGAACGCCTGCTGCTTTAGTCGAGATTTTTCACCCATTTCGAGTTTGAAAAAGTTTTGACAATGCCGATTTTNTACGAATTAATGCAAAACTTGGGCCGGAAAAATCGCAACCCCTGGGATCGATCTTTTTCATCAACTGTACTTTCTCCCCTGGGACCTACGTTTTCCAAATTCAGAAGTGAAGAATCATGTCGCCCTGAATTATGAGCTGGCTTGGGTATACAGAATTTTTCCATTGATGGGTTATGTTGTTGAACGCCTGCTGCTTTAGTCGAGATTTTTCACCCATTTCGAGTTTGAAAAAGTTTTGACAATGCCGATTTTTGTTTGCGTGCAATATTCTCATCTGAATGGCGGTTTTGAATATACCCTAGTTAACAAGGCTCTCTTTTGTTGTCCTTTCATTTTTCCGCAATGATAACCACATAAACTTATGGAAAAGTGCGATTTCATTACTTGAAAGTGTACCGCTTTTCTATTTCCCTGTACTTGAACTACCTTTTTTGCATGGGATACTCGTAACCTCGCTTGCAATACATAACAGCAGAACTGACAATTTGACAATTTTATTGACCTTGAATGAATTGGTTTTTGTTGAATCTTCAAAAATGTACTCGATTACTGACTGCAGCCTTAATTGGATTGAAGGCGTCCACGATCCTGGAGGAAAAGGTGGAAAAGAAAACGGACGACCCGTTTTTATTTTTTATTCTGCGCAATAACCCAGTGATGGTGGGTGCGCAAAAAAGCACAGTGGGGTTCGCGCGCAGATTTGCCGAGATTCTCAGGACGCGAATCTGGGTATATGATTTTGATTGTGTAAGTCAACACTCTAAAACTGACATTTTTCTTTCTGATCCCAATTTTTGTACCTGTGTTCACTAAACGTTGTAAACATGAATTTGTATAAACTAACAAGATTTAGAGCAGCTGTATCAGCGAAGCGCTCCTAAAGCTGCTTAAAATCCGCTATCAAATGTTTTATTTTATATTCCATTTACTTGTTTCAATCCTTTTGTCACTCTTACACTCTGTAATTGAGTTGTGTCAATATAGTGTTATTATTCAAAATAACTATAATAAAGACCTAATGTAAATCGACGTAAACCATTTTAAGCACAGGATTCTATACGCATTGCAAACTTGGACGATAAAGTTGCTCGACTAATGGATAAAAATATCAAATGATCATGCAGAAGAATAATTAATGCAGATAATCCGTATGGGTACCCAAAACATTTAATTGTTCAACTTTCAAGTGCGTCAGATGTGTGAAAGTGATTTCTGAACAAACCTGTACCTTCGTCCTGTAGTTTTTACAAGGAATAGCAACAATCCAAGTATATACCCAGAAAAAGGCAAGACCCAAATATTCTTTTATACTTCATATCTCAGAATGTACTACTGTATTTCATTTAAGTTTTCTACAAAAAGTTCATCGTCACTTTTTAAATATGAATTTAAAATCCAAAACAATCCATTTCAATAGGAGACTAGGGACAAATGGCGACTGAATTTAAATTCATTCATGGGAATTCAACACTGGTGCAAATAATATATGACTGACAATTTTTGAATATTTTGAAAGAAAAATGTGTACATCATGTATTTATTCCTCCAATTATAAAGCTTATCATCTTCAAACATATTTTAAAAATCAATTTTACTGATGACTGGTACAAATATGTTCTTGGTTTCCATGGGTAAAATTGTTCATGCCCTTTTTCATGCAGCGTGAGTGTATTTCAGTATTTTATTGATGTTGACAAAATTTCCCATGAATTTGAAATTCGGCTTTAATTTTTAATATAGTAAAACACGGTGATGAACCAGCTAATCTTCCATAGAAAAGGAAGAGGAAATTCCGGATAGAACTTGATTTGATACTGTAAAATCAATCTGATTCATAAAATTAGTGTATCTTTGCAGTAATGTGTAGTGTTACTTCTTGATGAAACTGCATGATGAAATATTCTGTGGAGAAAAAATCCCGTGGCCCAAAAATCCCATGAGTACAAAAATGAGTACTACAAAATTATAACATTGTCTCTGAAATTCCCTTCCAACTGTCAGGAAGGAATAAAAATCTAGTGGATTTTGAAATTGTGAAAGTGCAAGGGTTTTAATTCCTTCCAAGGGTGTTTGAAAGGTTTATAAGAATTTCATTTCTCAATAGAACCTCACCTTCACTTTAAATCATTCTCAAGAGAAAGGTGAGTAAGCTTGGGAAATATGTTGCCTTCATTTGGAGTCTTCATCTCTGCATTGTTTTGGATATAAACTCTGTCCTTTTCCAAAGATTTTCACAGCTCTACTTTGCTTATTGAAGTAATAAACTTGCATGAATTTGGGTGGAAATCTTGTAGAGTTGAAAACTTGTGGACTTTTTATAAATGTTTTCTTTATATTCCCTACATCATGTTCTGAATACAGCAGTATTGAATATTAAGATTGAGAATGAAATATCACTATATATAACTGCATTTAGACTTCTTTGGTAATTTAGAATTGTTTAAATATCATTTTCTTCTGTAGTTTTCAAACAAGGTTTTTCAGATATGGAAATTCATTTTTTGGGATTTTTGTACAATATGGGATTTTTGGACCCTGCAAGATTTTTGGCCTATTCAGCTGCAGGGGATTTTTGGGCTGCAAACTTTTTTCCTGCACCAGTGACCATCACACTTGTCGCTCATGGTGATGTTTGGATTATCATTTAAAAAAAGCAAAATAGAAAAATAAAAGATTACTCTTGAAAGGAAATTAAAATTAAAATTCAATTCTATTTTTTACAGTTTACTTTTTTCTTTTTGAAAATTGTGACTTTGTGAGTCACAAAAAATTGTTTTACTTGGTAAAGGTAATGATGTTGTATATTTATTAAAAAGGATACACTTCAGAGTAGTAAGTGGGACTTGGTTAAGGCAGGGTTACAGCTAATGTGTAATTCAGCAACCTGCTATGGTCTCCTCCCTGACTCTCCCCCTGGTGTTTTGAAAGGGGATTGAGGGTATTGTTGGAGTTCCCAAGCTGGAAGGACTTACTGCCAGAGGCCATCTGTGCAAAGGTAGCGCTGACGTGGATATTGCTCAAGGACCACAAATGGTCCAAAATGCAAAACATTGTGGCTGGAAGCATCTGGTGTGGCTGTGTAATTGGGAGTCCCATCTGGGTACATGTAGAACCTCTTCACCGGGATCAAAGGTGATGGGCTTGCGTTGGGTGGAAGCAAGTTGCCAGGTGGAGGTGGTGCGCCTGGTATGTTTCTGGACAATGTTGGATGTTGGGGGAGGGAGTCCCGATGTGCCATGGACATGGTCAAGAGGGAGTTGGATGTGTTTGTTAAAAAACACAGCATACGGTTCAGCACCAGTAGTGATATGCAGGCGGCAGTTGTAGGAGCGTACTACTCCAAGCTGCTCATGGCACTGCTGGATGAGTTGGGTTTGCTGGCTGGTCTCCCTGATCTACTTGATGGTTTCCAGAATGCAGAGGTGCTTGTCAGGGATTGGGCTTTCAAAGGAAGGATGTACGGGTGGGTGTGGTTGGGCATGGCTCAGGGCATCAGCAGCTAAGTTGAGGGTCCCCTTGATGTGGCAAAGGGTGTACTGGTAACCTTCCAGCTTTAGTTTGAAATAGACAATGCGGCGGGATGGTTCTTTCAGGCGCATCTCATGTAGTAGTGCCTGGTGATCTGTTGCCAAAGTGAATTTGCATCCCTCCAGATAGGGTCAGAATTTTTCTGTCTCTGCCCATTTGATTGCAAGTAGTTCCCGTTCAGAATTGGTGTAGTTTTGTTCTGCATATTTGAGTGTTTTGCTGGCATATTCCAAGACATGCAAGTGGGCAGGGTCTGGGCCTTGGAGCAGGACTGCCCCCATGGTTACCTTGGAGGCATCACACTGAACCTCAGCATAGAGGTTTGCATCAAACTGGCGGAGTGTGGCGTTGTGGGCCAAGGCTTGCTTCAACTCATCAAAAGCGGCCTGTGCATCAGTGGTCCAGGCCAATGGTGTGGGTCTATCACAAATAGTGGAGCATAGGCGCTGTTCCATTCCTTCAAACTGTGGAATATACTGGCGCACGTAGGAGGCAAGCCCAATGAACCTTAATAATGCCTTGGATGTGTGTGGGACAGGGTAATCATGGATTGCCTGGATTGTTTCTGGGGCTGGTCAACATGAATCCTTGTCCACAATAAACCCTAAAAATTTGACCTTGTGGGCTAGGAAATGACTCTTGTCCAAACTGATTGATGCTCCTGCTGTGGCCAGCTGGCAGAGTACTTCATTGACATTTGTGTAGAAAGTTGGGAAGTCTGGTCCAAAGATGATGATATCATCAAGATATACTAAGCAGGATTTCCAGATCAAATCCCCAAGAATCATGTGTAGTGCATGTTGAAAGACACAGGGGGATTGCTTCATGTCAAAGGACATCACTCTGAATTGGTATTGTCCCATGGGTGTGCTAAAACCTGTTTTTCTTTTCCCATTGGCGGACAGTGGAATATGGTGATAGCCCATGCGCAGATCAATCATGGCAAAAAACTCATTTGTTGGCCCTAATGCATCCAAACACTGTTGGACATCAAATACCTGGAACATGACATCTTCTGTCATGGTGTTGATT